GAGCCACAATGCCACGATAAGATCTGATTGGCGGGGCTTAATCCTAATTCATCAAGCCATCAACGAATCATCTTCTCTGCTAGAGCTCTAATCGATTTGTTTGCTATCGTATAAAGTCCACTCTGATCTTGATCGTATCCAAATAGCTATGAAGTTGTCATTTTCAAGATAGAAATTCCTTTTGGATCGGAGCCCTCCCTTTGATCGTCATTATTTAGTAACAACACAAGTTCATGCCAATCCATAGTGAATTTAATTCAATTATTACCATCTAACCAACATTTCGACAAAATCTTACTTGTGATAACTAAGTTGCAAATATTTATCAAGAACTATAGCTTAAACCAAAATTTGTCAAGAATAAAACCCAAAATCAAAATTCAAATCAAAACCATAGCATGAATCTGAACCAAGATAGAAGCAGAAGCAGACCATAAGAGAGACCCAGAGGTGGAGATAGAAGCATATCAAAAAATTGATCAGAGCTCAAGCCAGACCCAAATTAGAGATTGAACTAGAAATAGGGCAAGAGTTAAATCCAAAGCTAGAGTTTAAGATCAACACTATGATTTTACTATAGGATAAGTTATTCCAGATCCCTCGCTACCTACTCAATACTGAATTTAATAATTTACAATTAATTTTGAAGATCAAACATTTTGTAATAGAGTGCTTCCGATAGCCAAATAAGTCATTATACTCTCCCACTTAAAACTCGAGGTTGAGTAATCTCTGTCAATGGGAGATTTGATGCATGACAATTGTGGACCATTAAGATCTTTTCTGTTTTGCTAGTATGTGATGTAATCTTTTATTTTTAACCAGATGCTATTTAGGAATTGATTTTGATTTGATTTGATATTAATATTCTAGTTTAATTACAATTTGATTAGGTTGCACCTTTTAATTTCGGTTATATGACACTTAAATACCCTATTGTTACCTTAAATACTCTAAGTTGTAAAAATAGCACTTTGATACCGTTTGTAAAAAAATAGCTATTTAACAACCTGAGTTGTAAAAAAAATAGCACTTTAATACCCTATTGTTTCACCACCTTTACACTTTATTATTCTAATAAATTGTAAGAAAATAGCACTTTAATATCCTAACTTGTAGGAAAGTAGCACTTTAATACATTCCATTAGTTATCCGGACATAATCCTAGGGATATTTAACTAACAGAAGTTACTACTAATGTGCCAATATTTAACAAGTTAGGGTATTAAAGTACTACTTTCTACAACTTATCGTATTTAAGTGTGCAGGTGGTCAAACAATAAGGTATTTAAGTGTCATTTAGCCTTTATTTTCTTTAGTATTGAATTTGATTAGGATTTTTCGTTACTTCGTTTTTCCTTCTAAACAAGAAGATAACCTTCATTTGAAGGCAAACCTTAGTAGATGAAATTAATGATTTTAGAAAAACCTCTCTAAGCAAGTGAACTCCTTGTGTTCTTTAGTATGTGAATTGTTGAAATTACAAATGTGACTATGGAACCCAAAGTTATACGTTCCATTTTCAAATCTAGCGCACCCACAACTTCCACCTTTCAACAGTAGATTTCATTCTCTTTGCAAAAATTCAACACGAAACAATAAAACCTAATGCTTTTTCCGACCAATAAGTAGCTCTTCCCCCCTCCTGTCAATTATTGTTGATGATGTCATCAACATTCAAAAGAAAATAATAGCAACAAATGAAAGTTATTATTGCACTTCTCATTTTCTCCTTCCCTGAGTAAAACAAACCCAATAAACATGACCCAACTTTCATCTCACCAAATGCATTTGGAATCAATCAATGCCCTTCGATGATCCACCGTTGATGTCCCATAGGCCTCTGATGGCAAGCTCTCGACGATGATTCAAGCAAGTTTGAAGGCAATTGAAGCCCTCTGCTGAGCTCATCAACCTCCGATCACCCAAATCTAACAGTGCCAAAGCCTCAACAAGCTCCAACAAGCTTCTGACACATTCATCTCCCTCTGTGAGCTATATCGCGTCACCACGAACCCCTGTAGCAACTGCAACGCCTCATGCCAATATCATCCGCCTCAATTGATGATGTCATTGTTCTCTATTCAAGCATCTACCATAGTCATTCTCATCAGCCGATGAATTTTGATTTTAGTTTGTCAATGCACCAGCAAATCCTTTCTCCAGCAAAGCTCTGGACAAGTTTAAACAATGTCGTTTGCAGGCAGTTCAAAGCCTGGTAAAATCTATATAGCCATCAAAGTCATCGTTTCCATGATGAGTCTCTATCCGGATCAGAAGCCTCTCTAATAACATCACAGCCACCAAACCAAATTCTATTAACTTGTTCGCCAAATTCCACTAAGTATAGACCATAAAAATTGAAACCATGCAAACAAAATGATAACATGCTAAGATGAAAGCATGCTATGATAGGCCACAACATACGAAGAAATATTGATCTTTTTTTACAAGCACAAGCATACAAATTCAATTTCGTCAAATATTAATTGAAATAAATCAACATACTATTTGGTAAAGTGCATGAGATATAACTCAATTGGGAGAGGATAAGAGAAAGATAATAAAAGAGAGGAGAAGGGAACAAAACGAAAGGGAAAAAGAGAAAGAAGGAAATACAAAGAAACTTGAACGAAGACAAAAAGGAAAAGGCACACAGAAGAACAAAGTTCAGACGAAAGGAAAGGGTGATGAACATAAGGGAAATTAATAGTATAAAGGATAAGAAAACATAAAAAAGATAAAAGAAGCAAGCTAAAAGTAATTTAGAAAGAGGGAGAAAATAGGAAAAATAACAAAAAATGTATGTTCAGTTGACAACTTACAGACAAAACTAAATTGATGCTTTTATATCACTAGGAGATGCAAAGCTGGTGCAATTCTCCGACTAGGGAGACTTTGGCGACACAAGGGAGAAAGAAAAAGATAATATTAAGACAAAAATAGAAAGACGAAAGAAAATAAAAGTAGAATTGAACAATGATAAAAAGAGAAGGGGAAAGAAATGAAAAGGTCAAAGGAAAGAGAGGAGGAGATGAACGGAACGGAATTAAAGAGGATACATGATAAGAGAAAATAATAACAAAGGAAGAGAAAAAGGAAGTCGAGAGTACTTCAAATGAAGGTAAAAGGAGCAAAGTTAACAAAAAAGGAAAGGTCGATCATCAATTACCCACAAAAAAGTAGGTGCTTTCTCTCAATAGACACCTCTTTTATGTAACAATCTTTCCTTGGACTTCAATTTATACCAACAAATTCCCAGAGAAACATAATATACATATAACACTATAAGTTAACGTTGTCAAACCATGAATTTCAAAAACATTATTGAGTGAAGCGGTCATTAACACTAACGTCAGCTACCCAACTTCATATCCACGATGACCCGAAGAGAATCCATGGGAATCCTAGGTCATAACCTGTTTTACCATATATTCTTGCTCCTTGGTCATTATACTTTAACCATACGTTCATGACCTAATGCCCCTAACATACCAAACACACTTAAAGAAGAAATTGATGAAGTCATTCCAACATAGATAGCCACTTAAACAATGGGAGGCACAATCGAGCATTAGTAATCTTATATGAAAATAAGAACATTGCATACGCTTAAGCTACTCGAATTTTCTACAAATGCAGCTTCATATTATCAACATAACTCAATCGAAAAAGTCTACCTCCCCCTTGTGTCTTCATCTAGTTCGATATTGTATCCGTCACTACATACTCATTAACTATGATGAAACAAAAGCCTATAGCAAACAATTCAAAGAGAATCATCCAATACTATCCAACAACCAAAATCCATGCGAACAAAAAAATTTCATAACAAAACTCTTAAAACAAAAGTCATGATGTGTTAGATTTAGTCCCACTTTGACTAAATAGGGCATCAAATTGTTGGCTTATAACATATTTGTATTGCCTCCCTCTAAATGCTAGTTTTTAGGCATGCTTTATCCTAGGTCTCTTACAAATAGCATCAGAACCAACTCCACCTTTACAGTTGCAAGAATGGGTGGTGATGACGTCATTGTACTGTCTGCTCAAAACTAATCTAGTGCAAAGCGAGCAGGTGTACTGGAACTTCAACTCAGACCAAACTAGGACTAGACTAGTGCAAAGGCAGCAAAAATAGACATCAGGATTGCTAGAGCATGGTGGAGTATAAGGGTCCATTTAATCCCATTTTGACTAAATGAGAAGAGTCCTCTAACATCTACATTTAGAAGAGAATTCTCCTATGTCTCTTACATTATTATGCAAAAGAAACTTATTAGTAAAAGGATGTGGGGTCTGGGAGAACTACACAAAACTGTGGTTCCAAACTACAGGTTTCAAGAAACACATCAAAATTCTAATAATGAACCAAATCCCAACCCTAAAAAAATATTCTCACCATTGCTTTCCAGATCTTGCTTATCTTTAGCAATTCATGCAAGTACATCCAACGTCAGGTTCACTCAGTAAACTACAATGGGTTTAATGTTCTGACTCGCTCTCTACAAATGAACGACCATAAAAGGAAACCAGAACATACCACCACGCTTTCACAATCATGGGCCGGCTTCGCACTAGTCTAGTCCCAAATCAAACACTTCAGTCCTAACGTCAACCTTTTCGGTTTTGCACCAGACTATTCGAGGGCCGCACTCCCCTCACCACCCACCCACAACGCTCACCTACCACTGGAAAGGTGGGACTGGCTCAAGGTAACTCGGAGAACCCGAATCCTGAACCCACAATTGACTCCTCATTTGGTCAGTGTGACACTAAATCACTACTCTCCACTGAATTCCACGCTCAAATCAAAAAAAACACCCAAATTCTCGAACTCCCAAATTCCAATTCAGTCCTCCCCCGGCTTCCTCAACTAAACCAGCTCAAACCTAAACGACGCCCAGTACTCAAACCAAAAACAACCGAATTAACGCAAAATCAAGGTGTCTGATCGCTTGATCAACGATAAAAACAAAGAAAAACGAGAACTGAAAGAAGAGCACCTCGCCAGACGCTGATCTTGAGCGCCTCTTTGTTGAGACCTCGGACATAGTTGCCGAGGTACTTTTGGAGAAGGAAGGCGACCTGATCTTCGAGCATCTTCGAATACTCTGAATCGCTCTTCGATGATCAGAGATTGTGATCTCAATCCATGGGGGTAAGGGATCGAGGTCGATCTCGATAGAGAGATAGGGAGGGGTTAGGGTTTTTCCGCAAAATAGACGATGGAGTTAAAAGGAGAGGGATTTAAAGGGTGAAACGGATGAGGACGGAGGAGGTCGGCGAACTGAGTAGAAGGATGGAGACGCGAGAATGAGAATGCCCTTCATCTGGAACCGTTATTACGGTCTGAGGATTTACGTGTCATTTTGGCGTCCGATTCTTGCCGTGAGGGCTGCAGCGGTGTACTAGGAGTTTGAAATGGAGTGATTTTATGCGCAAAACTGAACTAGTATGTTTAAACAGACACCAGGGGGGAGGTTTGTTTCACTCTTTTTGGAATAGGAATAGGAATGGGATTTGACCGGAGCAAAACTGTAAATAAAGTATTCTTTATTAATCTTATTCCTAAGTTTGGTTCACAACAATTTTATAGATTTTGAAATCTATAAAGTTGAAAAAAGATGGGCGGTTTATGAAAACCCAAATCCTATTGATTTGAGTGGAATTTGGGGGAAAAAGCTAACACACCCCATGCCTATTCCCTTTCTCATTGTTTTTGGGAATCCGCCTCTTCACAAACCCTAGATTTTGTTTTCAACTTCTCCCGCTAATCTTCTCCCGCCTCTTCTCAATCATCTTCGCGCCTCTTCTCGAACCGTTCTTCGGTTTCTTTTTCGAAGACGAGGCTCAACGATAGTTGTCAGTGATCCCTTCTCGAACTTGTTATTCGGTTGTTGGCTTCGATTTCTGTTGATTTCAGTGGGTTTGTTGGCTTCGGTTATCCCTTCTCGGTTCGGTGGGTTTGTTGGCTTCGGTGGGTTTGTTGCTTCGACTTCTGAATTACCCCCTTGGATGTTGAAGGTATAAAACTTTTCCATGTTTTTTTATGATCGTTTCTTTGTGCTTGATCTGATGATATCCATGCAACCTTTTGAACATGGGTAATAGAATGTGCTGGTTTTTTTGATAATTGATTATATGTAGGGGATAATCTCTTATGAATCTAGGGTTTTGTTATTAGTTGATTAATGATTTCCTTTTCCCTGGATTATTTGTTAAATATGTTTTGCAAATGATTAAACCCATGGAATGAAAACCTTAATTTTATTTGTGGTTCATCCATCCTGGAAATGGCTGTGAACATCAGCTTTGATGGTCATACTGTTGTTTGACCAGCGTGCATGCTTAGGGTGTCTATAATTCTCAAGTAGAGCTTATATATTAGGGGTTGTTTGAAACTCATCCATAGGCCAAAGGCCTATGATATATATTTATACTAGTCAATGTGAATAAGTTGAGTACCCAAGAGTCACCCCCACTTAGTGGGGTGTTACACCACCATAATGGGGTGTGAATGGAGGGATAATGAGGGGGAGGCCAAAGGCCTCCCTCATCTCATAATATCTCGGTGTGGGGATCAGACCTGTAACCTGCATCTGAATAACCAATTAAGGTGGGAGACCCACCCTTCGGGAAATATAATCCCAGGTCTATAGACCCTTGGAGGTAGCGCAGAAGATGCTTAACTCCATTCCAGTGGCGCTTTGTGGGCGCTGCACTGTATCTGGCTAGTAGGTTAACTGAAAACGCTATATCGGGACGCGTACAGTTAGCCAGATATAATAGTGCTCCAATGGCACTGAGGTAAGGTACTTCAGGACCTAGCATTTCCTCCCCCTCTTCCAGCGGACGGAAGGGGTCGTTCTTTACATCCAATGATCGAACAACCATTGGTGTACTAAGAGGATGACATTTATCCATTCGGAATTTTTTAAGTAATTTCCGTGTATATGTGGATTGGTGTAACAGGATACCACCCTTAAGGTGTTCGATCTGTAAGCCAAGACAATACTTTGTTTTGCCTAGGTCTTTCATTTCAAAAGTATTCTTAAGGCTTTCAGATATCCCAGCGATCTCTGCAGGAGATCCAATGAGATTTAAGTCGTCGACATAGACGGCGACTATAATGAATCATGTTCCCGATCTTTTTATAAAGATACACGGGTAGACTTTATCATTTGTGAATCCTTGCGTAGCAAGGAACTCACTTAGTCTGTTATACCACATTTTCCCCGATTGCTTAAGACCATATAATGATCTTTGAAGCCTAACAGAATAGACGTCCCGAGGCCTATCTGCTATCTCTGGTGGAATTTTATATCCTTCAGGGAGTTTCATATAGATATCTTTATCTATATTGCCATATAGATATGCAGTCACAACGTCCATGAGCTGCATTTCTAGGCCTTCCAGAGATGAGAGGCTTATTAGGAATCGGAAGGTATTCCCATCCATAACCGGAGAATATGTTTTTTCATAGTCTATTCCCGGTCTTTGGGAAAAACCTTGTGCTACAAGCCGTGCTTTGTAGCGCACAACCTCGTTGTGTTCATTTCTTTTTCTGATGAAGACCCACTTATATCCCATAGGTTTTACACCTTCAGGTGTTTGGACTACTGGTCCAAAGACTTCGCGTTTCAAGAGTGAGTCCAGCTCTACTCCTATTGTCTCGTTCCACTTTGGCCAATCGTCTCTGCGTTTACATTCCGCTAGAGACCGTGGTTCGATGTCATCGTCGTATTCAGTGACGTGAACGGCAATATCGAACGCAAAGTCGTCGTCGACGACTGTGTTTTTTCTGTCCAGTACCTTCTCAGTACGTACAAAATTTAATGATGTTTCTCCTATTTGTTCCTCTTCAGAGGAATCTAGGAGGGGAGAGGAAGCTGGTCTGAGCTCAGTATCCTGTGTTGGGTTCATCTTTATTTCTCCAGGATTTTTTCTTTTACGAGGGACTTTGTCCTTCGAACCTGGTGGGCGTCCTCTTTTCAATTGAGGTGCAGCCGTTTCTGCTGCCGGCGGATTGCATCCATCTTTGGGGATGTCAATCCTAGCTGGCGTGTTGACAGCAGGGACGTGTGATCTGACAATCTTCTGGTTATCAGTGAATTTATCCGGAAGTAAATGTACTGTATTCTGAAGATGAAGAATCTTCAGGATCTCATCTTCACATTGACTAGTACGCGGATCATAATGAGACAAAGTCTTGGTGTTCCAAGAAATGGTCTTAGAAGCGTCAGGCTTCCTGGACTGTGTGCCAAGTTTAGGAAATGAATCCTCAACAAATTCACAATCATCAAGACGTGCTTTAAATGCGTCACCCGTCTGGGGTTCAAGGTATCTTATTATAGAGGGCGAATCAAACCCTATATAGATACCCAAACGACGCTGTGGACCCATTTTGGTCCTTTGTGGAGGAGCAATTGGGACGTAAACTGCACAACCAAACACTCTCAAATGTGAGATATTCGGAGGTGCACCATAAGCAAGCTGCATTGGTGACAAAATATGGCCACCAGAGGGCCGTATTCTGATAAGTGATGCTGCATGCAATATTGCATGACCCCAAGCCTCAACAGGCAACTGTGATTGCATCAACAATGGACGAGCAATCCATTGCAATCTCTTAATTAGAGATTCTGCTAACCCGTTCTGGGTGTGAACATGTGCTACAGGATGTTCAACTTCGATGCCAGTTGCTAGGCAATAGTCTTGAAAGACATGTGAAGTGAATTCTCCCGCATTATCAAGACGTAATTTCTTGATTTGATTATCGGGGAAATGAGCCCGCAATTTAATAATTTGTGCCAATAGCTTTGAAAAAGCTAAGTTGCGGGTGAACAAAAGGCACACATAGGACCACTTGGTTGATGTATCTATAAGTACCATAAAGTACCTAAATGGTCCACTTGCGGGGTGAATAGGCCCACAAATATCGCCATGTATTCTCTCCAAGAAGCTAGGAGACTCTAATCCCACTTTCAGAAAGGAAGGTCTCGTGATCAGTTTACCTTGGAAACAAGATAGACATGAGTAATCACCCTTCTGAAGAATCTTCAGGTTCTTCAGGTTGTGTCCACTTGATTGGCTCATGATGCGGTGTATCATTGCTGATCCTGGATGACCCAGTCTGTTATGCCAAAGTTTAAATTTCGTCGAAGAATGGCACTTCTAGTGCACAATCATGTTAGCTTCTACTGGTTGAATATATGTATGATAGAGACCCGACGGGAGTCCCTTGAATCGTTCTAAGATAGTTTTTGAACCATTTTTTTGACGAGTTACATACAAATACTCATCCTCATTTATATCATTGGTTTCTAAGTGATATCCGTTTAAATGAATATCCTTGAAACTTATGAAGTTTCTATTAGATTTCGGAGAGAATAATGCATCTTTTATTATTAGTCTCGTTTTATTTGGGAGCAATATCATTGCTTCACCAAATCCTTCTATTATGTTAGATAGTCCCGAAATCGTAATTACGGGATCGTCATAATCATATAAGCTATTGAAATAGCTTCTTTCGCGAAGGATTGTGTGCGTCGAGGCAATATCCACAAGGCACTCACACTTCATCTATAACATGAATGCAATATTTTAATCTAAAGAAAATAACTATTTTTATTGAAAAGTAAAGTGCATTACATGGAAAGTAAAGAACTAAAGATGAAAGTACTATGAGAATTTAAATGCATATAAAGATAACATGGATCTAGTCGAGAAGATCATCTGTTTCAAAGTCATCAGCAGTGAACTGAGTAGACGGTTGCTTTTCCACCAGATTTGTTTCAACAGGAGACTTCAGGCTCGCTTGATACAGATCTTGGAGGTGTCGCGGAGTGCGACAATTTCTGGACCAATGTCCAGTCATGCCACATCTGTGGCATTTGTCCTCCTAAGTGTTCTTGGGAATGGACGACAGCTCAGTGGTCTTCTTCTTCCACTTCTTCTTTCCCTCACTATTGCTGCTCTGGGAGGGTTGTTTTTCTGGGGTGGACATCTGGCTTGCCACTTAGGGGCTTTCCCCTTGTTGAATTTACCCTTATGTTTTTTCTTTTGCTTCTGGGAAGTAAACATGTGAGCTTCGGGTAGAGGAGCTGAGCGTGCAGGGCGTAGGTTATGAGTGGCCAAAAGCAATTCTCTGTTTTGCTCCGCCATCAGAGGGTGGAGTGCAATTCAGAATACTTTTTGAACTTTCGTTCGCGGTACTGTTGCATGAGGATTGCATCCTTCTCGTGGAAGGATGTGTAAGTCTTCTCCAACATGCGTTCCTCCGAAACTTCTTCACCACACAACTTCAGGCGTGAGGTGATATTATGAAGTGCTGAGTTATACTCAGCTACGGACTTAAAGTCCTGAAGTCGGAGGTTTTCCCACTCATAACGTGCACGTGGGAGGATCACATCTTTCTGAT